CGTTGGAGTAGCACAATTTGTTAGGGAGTATGTTTGATTTGTCTAGTTTTTTGTACAAAATACTAGAAAAGAAATTCGAAAAAAATATGTCATGTAGTAATGCATATTATCCTAGACAAGAAATCTATTTAATTTCAATGTTAGAAGCTACTGCTACAAAAGCCGTATCACTTTTCATTATATCATTTCAACGCGACAAAATCCCGCCCTTAAACTGATCTCCTCCATTATCACACGCAGAATGCATATCTTTTTTTTCGAAAAAGTATTTTGAAAACCTGAAGTACTTTAAAACTTTTTTGCTTATAATTTCTTTTGTGTTTTCTTCTTCTCGTCAGAACTTTAATGGTTATCCATGAAGCATTCGTAGCGCTCCGCTTAAACTCATTTTTGGGATAAAAAGGATGAAGTAGAGAGAGAAGGGATTTATAAATGCTATAGCACAACTTAGGCTTACTCAGCTTTGTATTTCCTTTTACTCTAACCTCCCTTTCGCAGAAGGGCCTGAAATGGTTGACTAGATAACTTTTATATACTTATTTTGCTTTGAAGCATTGCAGGTAAACTTCGTTCTCTGATTAGATGCAAAACACTTAGGTACTCATGACAGAGAATTCGTATATATCTGAGTTTTATCATTTAATAACCGTTCCCATTAAAGAAACTAAGGAGACGGAGCACCTTCCTATCAGTGCACTTATTCGATAAGGATCCACACTCAAAACCAGAAAAAAAATTAATCGCTCTTTGATAAAGCTGAGCAAAGTAACCTCGTGATAGCATGACCCTTACTTGCAGCTTTTGAAATTTACGCGTGACATTATCAATGTCACAACTTCGCACATTCCTCACCTACTTTGATTGTTCCTTAAAAAAATTTTCCTTATAGCAAACATAGGATACTTTTTTGAGTGAATATTTCAGCTAGCTGTGGAAATCAAATAAGAAGGCCTGTGCTTCCTAACCAGTTTTCGAAGTGACGTAGATAGCGTATACAAGCTCTGTAATGTTAGCATCAATCTATAATCATCTCAAGAAACCTTCTAGGCGTCATTTA